CTGCTGAAGGGCAGAGCCCACAGCTATTTCAGATCCTTGCAGCCCGGTTACACGGGCATGGGTTCACATTCTTGCGCTGTTCTTGATTCCGTGGTGACTTCAGATGGTCTTTCCTCATTTTAGCAGGATTCACCATCAGCGTGGAAGGTAGTCAGAATGGAATCCCTAGAGAGAATGATTTAGAAAAACAGACACTCAGAAGTTAAAGCCTTTCACGCTGCCTTGTCCATAGAAACGGTCCAACCCAGTCTTTCCCCAAAAGGTCACTTTGTGCTGCCAGGTTTCTGTACAGACAAAGGACAGACGTTCATGTCTTAGAGCTCTTCTTTTTCACGTCAGTCTCATTTGTATTTTATTTTTAAATAACGAGCAAACCACAGCTCACTGGCAGAGCATACAAGAACGTGTCGCCTGTTCAACAGTATCAGCTCTAACTGATTACATCTTGTGCTTTTTAGAATATATAAACTCACTGCTATCTCACAAAGATAAAGTATTTTGATCTTTCAGAAAAACTGGCTAGATTAAGATCGGTTGAGAACAAACTCCTTCCGGAGCAAAACAAGAGCATTACTCATTAAAAACATGTATCAGCAGGACTACGGCAACATTGCAGAGAAAGTATTTTTGGCATTTAAGTTCAGTAGTCACAGTCTTTATTAGCGAGTTAACAAGTACGTTGCCTCCTCTCCTGGTTTAATTTGCTCCTCCGTTGCCTTCGATCACCAAAACCAGCATTTCGAGAAGAAATTGACGGTTACGTCGGGGAAGAAAGCTTTGATCTTCACAAAAGACATGGTGCTCCGTTGCTGAATGTTTCACTTCTTAGCTATGGCCATCACTTTCCGAAACGTGAGGTTGATTCTTGGGGCAAGTACTCTCTTGCGGATGGGCAGGCTGTGGTACCAGTACACGTTGGTGGGGTACTTCATCAGCAGCAGGCTCCCATGGGCGAGCTGCAACTTGATGGGCTTGATGTGGCGCGTCGCGTTTTTCCCTCGGGAAGCACAGTGCCTGAAAACAAAGTCCCTGCAGGCTCCGAAGGACACGGACGCAATAGGACTGCGAGGAACCAGCTCCCTCTCATCATCTCGATGCTCGCCTATGTGGTCCTCACCGTCTTTGTATCTGTACACAGAACAGGTTAGTCAGACCAGCCCAGTTAAACGGATGTCACACAGCTTGTCAATGAGCCATCAAGAGTGTCACACAAACAATTTTTCCTTGGAAAAAGCTGCTTGATGCAACTGGAAAACAGACATACCTGTTAATAAGAACAAAATTGAAAGTATGTCCTGTGTCCAAAGCGATGCGGTCTCGGATACGCTTGAGAACTGGGATCCACGGCTTGGGAGAGAAGGTGACGCCCGAGTACGTGTACGTTAACTCGGGGTCTCCATAGGTGACCTGCTTCCTTGGAATGTGGTGCCATTTGCCAAACACCTGCAATTTCGTCATTTCGCCTGTTTAAACAAGAGATGAGGAGGATCAAACCCAACTCTGTTACCTCTGTGGTTCGGTTCCAACCCTCCTTCACTTGCAGCTTTCCGTGGGACAGCAGAAACGGCACGTCACCGACCCTAAAAGCCGTCACCTGCTTTGTTTGACCAGGCTGAACAGGACGGGCTCCCCCATCGTGGCCTGT